GAGCCAAGCAGCACATTCCTGGCATGCTGCGAAGCTCTTCCCCGAGCCTAACCTTCGTGTTTTTCCTGGAATTAGGGGTGGAATGGGAAGCCAGCACTGGCTCTGAAGAGCTCTGCAGAGGCAGCAGGAGGCGGTGGCAGGCATGGCCCTGGGGAGCTGGGCTGGCACAGGCAGGGGCTCAGGGGCTCGGGGGCACCTGCCTGCCCCCACCAAAACCAGAGTGAAAGCACTTACTCCCTAACACCTGGTTTCACCCAAACCAGCTGGCCAGCAGCTCGGACACGCCTGGCCCAGCCTGCTCCGGCCGCGGGGGCTGCGGCTCCGTGGCTGACCCATGGAGCTTTGGACACTGCCCTGACAACCCCAGCCCTCCCCACCCAGCACCTCTCCATGCTCAGCGCCCATGGGGATGGCACCATGCATCAGAGCAGCTCAAAGCCCAACATTCCCAGCACTTCCCTGCGATGGGAAGCCTCACACTGAGGCACACGGTGCCGTAGCCATGATTTGGCATTTCACCGTGGTGGGAATAACCAGAGCCCAGTTCAGATCCTCTTACCATCATGGACCTCTCCAGCTCCACCTCGTGCAGCAGCTCTGCAAACTCTTTGAAGGACTCGGCTGCAAGGAAAGAAGAGGCTGGTCAGTGGGGCTGGGAATGGCACTGGAGTGTGGGACGTGCTGGGACACTCCAGTCTGGCTGCACCCCCAGCACGGCCAGAACACAGAGAAGAAGTGGAGGCAAGGCCGCTGCAGGCTGGACAGGAGGGTATTTATCTACCCAGCCCAGAGGAGAGAGGGAGGGCAGGCTCTGTGGAGAGAAGAGTATGTTAGTAAGCTTTCATTAGGAATTGTGCTACAGGGATGGCAAGGTGAGTGGCAGGGAAGGGGCAGACAGGGAAGGGACAGACAGGGGAAGGGGCACATGGGAGAAGGGACAATCACTGTCTCCAGGGCCTGCAGAGGGACAGGTTCTGCCACAGAAAGGGCTGTGGGCAGGATGGAGCTGTCTGTCCCATCTGGATGGCCCCTGCAGTGCTGGGAAGGGCCTGGCACCTCTGCCCTGGGAAGAGCTGCAGGAGCTCACCAGGACCAGGATGAAAATGAAATGAAAGCAGCCTGGAATGCCAAGGCAGGAACACAAAGTCTGTGTATAGGAGGAAAGGCAGCAGGTGTAAAACAGTCACAGACACTGACAGCACTCCCCAACACGTCAAAAGTGAAACAAGAAGATCTCATGGATCAGCACCTTCCTGGGAGTCCAAGTGGAACAAAAATACCATGAAACCTCTCCTTTAACAAAGTGAAACAACTAGGTTTGTTTGGTTTGGGGAAAGAGGTGAGGAGGTGAGAGTAGCTGCCTCTGCCCACACAACAGGGCTCTCACCAAGGGGAAACAGCCTCTCTCCCTGCCCACTGAAGCAGAACTCTGGAAGGGCTGAACTTTCTGCAGGGGAGGAAACCTCTCGGCAGCAGAGCGCTGACAGCACTGAGCCAAGGGGCTCTGCCAAGCTCCTACTCTGCAGGCTGCAAGGCAAGGCTGAGCAAACATCTGCCCACGCAGGCAGCAGCTGTGTGCTGGATGCCTGGGGGAACAGCCTGAGTGCCTCAGTACCTGGGAACTACCTGGAAGTTAGCTGGGAGAACTTCCCACTGTTCCAGCTGCTCAGCACAGTGTGGAATGGGTCTGACGGGTCCCACACTCACCCTTGCTGTGTGTACAGCACAGAATGGCTCTGCCAAACCCACAGGAGCTCTGTGCCTGAGTTCAGACCCTCCCTCGCTGGGAAGGGTCTCACACATCCACTGCTGAGCTATTCAAAGGCTACCTGAGGTGACTCGCAGAGGCTCTGGCTGGGACCAGAGCTGAAGCAGGGCAGCACAGGAGGGAGCACATCAGGAACAGCTCATCCCACGAGTAGGGGCAAGCTGAGGGCCCTCTCCCCTCATCCACAGGCACTGCCTCTGGAGAGACACCTGTCCTGACAGAATCCACTGCGAGAGGATTCACCCTAGAGCTGCTGAGACAGACATAAAAGGGAACAACCGCAGCCTTGTGACATGGCATGGGCACAACAGACCTTCCTGATGAGTCAGGAACTTCTGAGCTCGGCTCCAGCACCCAGCCATGCCTGGCTCACTGTGCTTGCCCCCAGGCCACGCTGGGCTGTCCCTGTGCCTCCCCAGGATGGTGGGAAACCTGGAGCACATGGACACCAGGGGTCTGAGCCAGGAAAGGAACTACCACGGAGAGCAAGAGAATCCAGCCCTCAACTTAGAGGGAATATGGCAGTACCTAAAACATTCCCTGGCTGCTTTTCCCCTTTGCTCTACAGGAAGGGCCCAGGAACACGTTTCTTGGCTGCAGTCACAAAGCAGCTCACTGAGTTTTCTCTGCACCACACACTGGAGGCTCAGGCTGTCACCTGTGTGGTGACAGCAGAGGGACCACGGGGGGTGACCACAGAGGGATCACAGAGGGACTGCAGGAGGGACCAGAGAGGGATCACAGGAGGGACCTCAGGAGGGACCACAGGAGGTACCACAGCCATGGGGTAATTCAGGTGCACCTGTGACCACTGACATCCCCGTGGGGACACACTGCTGGTGCTAAATGCCCCTGGTGACAGACAGCACCAGCCCAGTGCCCTGACTGCCCCAGCAGTGCCACCCGCCCCCTGCCCACATGGTGAGAGCAGTGTGCCACTGGCTGTTTATCCACAGCCCAAACACCTTCCCTGCATTCCGTGAGAGTGTTGTGCTTCGTTCCCATATCCTGCACAGCAGATGAGCTCCCACGCAGATCCCTGGCACCCTCGCAGGAGATAGAAGCTGCTATGGAGCTGTTAACGCCCTGCTGCTGTGCCAGGAATAAGGGAGCCCCAGACCCAGCAGGGCTTGGGTGGGAGAAGGAACACAGCGTGGGCTTCTTCACAGGGAAACCAGGGACCTCTTCTTGAAATAGCAAAACAAACCCTCCCCAGCAAACCAGAAGGGAAACGTGCTCCTCTCACCACGGAGAGTTTTACATGTGCTGTGATCTCTTCTTGCTCTCCTCCGCCCACGATCCCTCCATTCAACCTCTGCCATTCCCAGCAGTCTTCCTCGTCTGCTGGAGCTTTGTCCCTTCCAGCCAAGAGGAGGGACACTCCTTTCCTTGGTGGCTTTTTGCCTCAGGCCCCTCTGCTCCCAGGAGGGGCATTGGCAGGGCAGTGTTCTCCCTTCCCCGGCTCAGAGGTTGTTGGAAACTCAGCAACTCTGCTGCTGGTAGATTGGAGGCTGACTCATTTCCAGTGGGTTTCATCTAGAGACTTTCTATAAAGGAAACCAGCCGTGGAGGGACAGGCTGCAACCAGCTTCACAAGGCTCTAAATACAACAGCCCAAGGAACAGGCTCCACTTCCTTCCCCGTCCGATGGCAGCCGAGACCTGACATCAGCAATGGCACACACAGCCACCCTTGAACCAGTGCCTGGCAGGGCTGGTTTGCTTTGGGCTTTTCTCCTGTGTGCAGTCCCCAAGAGCAGCCTGGGGAATGCCCTGTGCCCCCCAACAGGCAGTCCCAAACCCTCACCCCAGGGACGTGCCCCAAGGGTTTTGTTCCATGTGCCGGGTCAGACCCTTGGGGCTGGAAGATCTTCCTGCAGCCTCCAGCACCTGCCCCTAATCCACGAGCAGATCCGTGTGGCATGCCCTGGATTTGGGGCATTCAGCCCGTTAGGTTCAGCTCCCCAGGGCAGTGCTGAGCTGTGCTGGGGGCAGGGAGGTAACACAGCTCCAGGACTGCCAATCCCCAGACAGATGTGCAGGGAGCAGCCCCACACTCACTACCCTGCCCACAGATTGGCCACTATTTCCACAGGTTCACATCCAACAATCCTTCCCCCAGCAGTTTGCAGCCTGGGGCACTTGGCCCCTCCAAGGCCTTTCCAGGCAGCTTTGAGAGCAGCAGCCAGTGCTCCAGCTGTGGCACTGGGAAGTGGAGCTGGCTGGGAGATCAGCACACACCACCTCCTCCCCAGCCCTGGCAGCATGGAGCAGGGTTGGAGCCATGGAAAACCTCTGCAGATTATCCGCTGAGTTGGGAATGTGAAACTCAACCCATGACAATTCAACTTTGTAGAAGAGGTGGTGGAAGAGCTGACTGGAGCCCAGCTCCTGGGGCTGCTTCAGAACCACCAGCCTAATTCCTAGAGGGAGACTGTTCCAGTTGCTGAAAAAGCAAAGAACTCACCAATATTGATCTCATCATCCGTTAGTGTGTCACCAATGAAGTCAAACTGGAAGGACTGCAGAGTCTGGGAGAACTTCTGCACTGCTGAGGAGTACCCTGGAAAGGGAGAGAGCAATCAGCTGTGGGTTTGTGTCACTGTTATGCAGAGGCTGCAGGTCTCAGAAATGTATCCTGAACAGAAGAAAACCATAGAGAGGTGGTCAGGAAAATCCACAAGCATCAGGAATTCTAGCCCTGCAGAAAACGCCGCAGTGCTGATAACCCTCAGAGACTGCAGAGAGCTTTGAGTTTAGGGTTTTTCTCTCTCTGAAAAAGCTTCTGCAGCACTAATGGATGCACCACACAGTACAACTGATCGATGTCCTTGTGTCCTGCCACGTACAGGAAGGGACATTAACACACTTCCCTGCAGGAAAACAGGCAGGAGATCCCCCCAGGGCTCTGTGTGCATGGGCACAGCTTCTTGGGGCACGGGGGCTGTCGGACAGACCCTGCTCACAGCAGCTCCACTGCATGGGAGAATAGTCAGAAAATACACAAGGAACAAGTCAGGACCCAAAATAACTGTCCCTCTCTGGGGTCACGGGCACAGACAGGCCCTGAGGGAAGGACAGGGCTGCAGGGAGCACAGGGAGCTCAGCTGGGCCCTGGGACCGCTGCTCCCGCTGCTGAGGAGCTGCTGGAAGCAGAGACACTGCCTGGTGGTGGCTGTGGCTCAGCCCACATTATTTCTGAACCTTGCAGAGGAGTTTCTGCCCCAAAGGATCCTTTGTGTCTCTGCCTTGCAGCCCCAGCAGTGGCTCTGCTGTCGGATGGCGCTGGCAGAGGAGCAGTGGCATGGGGCAGCGGCACTGCAGCAAAGCTGGACCCAGTCACCACCCAGGGACAGCAGGGACAGCACCAGTGGCACTGCCCTGGATCAAGCACACCTTCCTGCACAACGCTGCCTGCTGTCCGAGTCCTTCTCCAACTCCGAGATACAAACGGGAGGAGGCTGCGCTTGCCTGGCCTCAGGGAATGCAATGTAGGCAAGAAAACAAAAGCAAAGGGACAGTTTTATACTCTGATTTACATCACTATTTTACCTAATCTGGGGCTCCAGAGTGGACTCCTTTGTGGGGTTGTGCTGGAGACAGCACTGAAGTTCAGAGAGCTGCAGGTGTGGAAGAGGTGACAGTACAGAACGAACGTGCAATCAGCTGACAGTGACTGCTGTACACAGGAACTCAGTGCACATGGGTGGGAGTTTTACTGTGAAAACAGAGCTCACCACCACAGTGGCAGGCACGGGGTGTTCTGAAACACTGCTACGAAGGGGAGAGAAAAATTGGACAACACTGAAACGGATGATGGGGACAAGAAACCAAGTGTCTGCGTGGGACCCTGGCAGGTCCCCAGGCTGCCCTGCTAACCCCGTCCCTGGGTCAGGAGCACCCTCGGCTCACCAGCCCTCCCCAAGTGCCCCAGGCAGGTGGATGTGGGGGAGCAGCCAGGTCCCTGTGCAGGGAGGAGCTCAGAGCACACAGTCCCTGCTTCCTCCTCAAAAGCCTCGTTCAGAGCTCCCTCCAACGGGTCAAACCTTTGCTCCTGAATGGGCAGATTCAGGCCTGAATGTGGCTATTTAGCCCCAGCTGCCAGGGGCTGGAGCACGTAAACGGGTGAACTCTGGCACAGAACGATGTCATTGACTCGTTGGAAAACCTCAGCAAAGAATTCCCGCTCAGTCCCCTCGGCACTCACTCAGGCAGGGCTGGAGGCACATTCAGGCCTCACTCAGGGCATCTTTGTTCAACCCCTGCAAACTCTCATCGCCATCCCTGATGCTACTGCAGCCCCATTCACTCCCTTCCAGCCCCATTCACCCCTTCCAGCCCCTCCACTGTGCTCATTAGTGGGTGACCTTCAATTGCTCCCCCAGACACCCTCACAGTCCAGCACAGCTCCCTGAGCTCCTCCCAAAGCACCCGAGGTGGCCCATCGTGCTCCACCCCCTATACCCCCAGCCATTGTCCATCTGTCTGTCTGTCTGTCCCCTCCACGTGCAGCGCCCAGGGAAAGGTGCCTCATGGCTCTGGCTGTGTCTCCCGGAGCACACACAGGTCCCACACTCGGTGCCAGGAGGGACAGAGGGTCTCCCTGTGCCATGTCTCCATCCCACCTCTGCCCCGGGGGTGGGGAACAGCCTGGAGAGCTCCTGCCTTTGGGATTTACAGGAACAGGGGAAGGGCCGTGGCAGAGAAGGGTTTGAAAAGGCAAACACAGTATGTTTTAACCAGAAGAAAGGAACTGTATAGCTGATTTAAGTTACATTTCCTTTCAAAATGTGCCTGGCCTGAAGGGTTATTTGCCAAACATCCAGGGAGAGGGAGAGGGAGAGGCAGTGCTGCACATGCCTGGCAGGCTCCGGAGTAGCTCCTAATGCAAACCAGGCTCGGGCAGACCAACATACCTCGGCTCCCACATGTCCGGAGCCTTGGCTGAACACGGGCTGGGGCAGAGCCCTGAGCACAGACACACAGACAGACAGACAGGCAGCCCTGGCTGTCCAGCACGGGGTGTTCACATGGCTGAGGGAGCACAGCGGTGCCCACCAGCCACCCCGGGGCAGGGGATGCTCCCGCTGGGCACTGCACCCCTGTGTGGCACAGCACAGCACTGGGGCCTGTGGCTGAGCATCACCCTGTGTGCCCAGGGACACTCAGCAGGATGTCACCACTTCCCTCCAGGGCACTCAGCGGTAGCACACAGGGATGGGGCAGGGCCGGGGGCAGGCATGAGCCACAGCCACA